GCCTCCTGTATGCTTTCCTAGTGGATACATGTCACATGGTACTGTAATTGTTGATTCTCTGCCTCCCTGTCCCAAACTGTGAATTTCACAAGTATAAAGACTACCTGATTCATCTGTATTCCTAAAGAAATGTCATTTTTGTTTTGTATACTAGGAATGTTTGATAGGCTAGTCATATGAAATAGTACATAGTAAATACACAGAAAACAACTTGCTGGTTGACTTCTGAGCTGAGTGGTTTATTCAGTAAATTGGAACATATATCTCCCCCCTGCCCCAAACTCTGCCACTTGCTGCTGCTTTTTTCATTTTTCTTGATTTTGGTGGTTGCTTTCTTTGGTTTCTGTGTTCTGCCACTGCCTGTTGCTTCCCTATTGCTTTATCTGCTGCTGCACTGCACTACTCTCTTGGCTTTTCTCCCACAGAATTCATCACCCCTGTCCCGCAACTTCCCTTAAAACAAAGTTACCACCTCAAGCTTCCAAAGCCCGGAGCACCCCTATAGAAAAAGCCATTGTGCTGTGCAGGAGTCATAGGCAGAGACTATTACTGGTAGAGTAAGGCAGATTTTCCTGACACCAAGGATCTGAAAACCTGGGTGCCAGTTGTACTTGACTCCTAATTTCTTGGGTTGACCTTAAGAAGTTTACTTACAACAAGTATATGCATGTACAGTATTATCTAAACTTTGTCCTATTTTTAAAAAATAATCCAGTTTTTCTTCCATGTAAATTATCTGTTATTAAAACACACATAAATAATCTAGGGAATATACTTAAAGACATACTACTTGTGTTTAAGAGCCATGACCATTTGAAAATAGGAAAACCAAATTTTAGTACGATTTCTATATATTTTGGGACCCATTGATTTCTGTGTGAAACAATTAGGAAAAGAGGTTTGCTGTTTACCATTGCAATATTTAGGAAGGTGTGGGGGAAAGGGATTTACCAAACAAATTACTATTGTTATGACATTATAATAGTGCAAGTTTTAACTAATTTTAGGGAATAAAATTATTTCTTAAAATTTATCTTTTCTCTGTGTGTGGTTTGGTTATCTCTTTTCCCCTGAAAACATCATCCTATTTGTTAGTCTTATTTTTCCAGTCCTTATTAACTCTTAATGCTACGTAATAAGGCTGCATTTCTTTTAGAATATATTTGTTCAGTTTTGCCTTTCAGACTTTTTACAAGTCTCTTTTTAACACTTACCCATTTAACTTATTGGGAGTATAGTTGTAACCAAGAGTTGAGTAGATTAAAGTATTGGGCTTGCCAAAAACTTTGTTCAGGTTTTTCTATAACATCTTACACGAAAACCTGAATGAACTTTTTGACTAACCCAGTAGAAGTGGCTTTTCTGGGAATTCCCGTGGTGGTCTAGTGGTTAGGACACTGTGCTTTCATTGCCGGGGGCCCAGCTTCAATCCCTGATTTGGGAACTAGGATTCCACAAGCCACACGGCATGGCCAAAGAGAGGTGGTTTTTCCAATAGCATGTTCAGTGACTGTGAATGTGTATCTATCAACAGTGTATTTAAGACTTGCACTTATTTCAGTGCTCAACCAATCAGTGCTTTTTTCCCCCACTTTAGTCTGCTATGTCAAAAAACTGCATCAAGCTTTTGTGTGAAGATCCTGTTTTTGCAGAATATATAAAATGCATCTTAATGGATGAAAGAACTTTCCTAAATAACAACATTGTCTACACATTCATGACACATTTTCTCCTAAAGGTACGTCACAAGTTGGAAACTCAACTTGTCACTTCCAGTTAGTTAATGGTTGTGTTTTCATTGTGTTGGGTCTTTTGGAGATTTTTTTTTTTTAAATCATCTTTTTCAGGTTCAAGGTCAAGTGTTTTCTGAAGCAAATTGTGCCAATTTGATCAGCACCCTTATTACAAACTTGATAAATCAGTATCAGAACCTGCAGTCTGATTTCACCAACAGAGTTGAAATTTCCAAAGCAAGTGCTGCTTTAAATGGGGTAAGAACTATACAAGGCAGTAGTCATGTACTTTCAAACTTTCCTTATTATATCAACTCTAAATCTGGCCTTGGTATATACATAATTTTAACTTCTTATTCAAACTGTAGAAGTCATATATGATGAAAACCTAACCAAATGAAAATGTGTTCCCTCTGCCTTTTATGTATGTAGCATACCTTCTGTCACCTTAAAAACATGAGCCAATGTCATAAAATGCTAAGGGTAGTAAAACCACTAAGAGGAGACATTCCCTTTACTTGTTCAAATTTTTTAAAATGTTACTTGTGATGTTTCTATTAGTGCCTGTGACTTATAAGGGACTGAAAATCAAGTTAATAATCTGCCTATAAAGCCAGTTAAAGCTGGTGAATTGGTTGCTCATATAGACTTCATGAAAGCCATGTTACAGAAAAATGAAATACCCACCAGCATGTGCAGGCACACCTCCAGCAGCTGCCTTCTAGGTAACAAAATGCTTAGAGGCCAGGGTAGATTACAGCGCTACATGAAGACGACCTGTGGTACCCACTAGAAATCAAGCATCTTTGAAAACTGACTCCTAGATTAATGAGGCCTAAATTGTTCATGGATCATTCATGGTTTGTTTTTAAAATTCCTGTATAAGTTTTATTACTGATTTTTTTTTCCATTTTCAGAAAACACTGTTTAGGTCTTCAGTCAAGTGGTGTGGTGCAAAGAACAATGGTTTTAGTGACTTAGAACCAATGAAATACAAAGACAGTAGTATCATAACACTGGCTTTCTAGTTTTAGCATTCTTCTAAAAATACCAGAGGAACCAGGATGGATTCCTGGAAGAGTAATAAACATGTGCATTTAAACTACTAACAGTGTGTTAAAATGTTGGCTTTGGAATTTAAAATGTTTCTGTTTGGATTTTTGTAGGACTTACGGGCACTTGCTTTGCTCCTGTCGGTACATACTCCCAAACAATTAAACCCAGCTCTGATTCCAACTCTGCAAGAGCTTTTAAGCAAATGCAGGACTTGTCTGCAGCAGAGAAACTCACTCCAAGAGCAAGAAGCCAAAGAAAGAAAAACTAAAGGTTAGCTTTGCAGACTAATAAAATATTGACTTTAGGGGGTGGAAGAAGGGACAAATACACTCTCTGCTACTGATTTTACAGTAGTTGTGTGAGCCTCCTGAATATAAATGCTAAAAAATGCAAATACCCCCAATGTGATCTTAATGACTCTCTTCAGAGAAATTTTCATGTTCGTTTTCACAGATGATGAAGGGGCAACTCCTGTTAAAAGGCGGCGCGTTAGCAGTGATGAGGAGCACACTGTCGACAGCTGCATCAGTGACATGAAGACAGAAACCAGGGAGGTCCTGACACCAACTAGCACTTCAGACAATGAGACAAGAGACTCCTCGATCATCGACCCAGGCACCGAGCAAGATCTTCCTTCCCCTGAAAACAGTTCTGTTAAAGAATACCGAGTGGAAGTTCCATCTTCGTTTTCAGAAGACACATCAAATATCAGGTCACAGCATGCAGAAGAACAGTCCAACAATGGTAGGTTTGAAGACTGTAAGGAATTGAAAGACCTCCACTGTTCCAAGGATTCTAACCTCGCTGAGGAAGAATCTGAGTTCCCTTCTACTTCGCTTTCTGCAGTTCTGTCTGACTTAGCTGACTTGAGAAGCTGTGACGGTCAAGCTTTGCCCTCCCAGGACCCTGAGGCGGCTTTATCACTCAGCTGTGGCCATTCCAGAGGACTCTTTAGTCACATGCAGCAGCACGACATTCTAGATACCCTGTGTAGGACCATTGAATCTACAATCCATGTGGTCACAAGGATATCTGGCAAAGGAAACCAAGCTGCTTCTTGACATTAGATGTAGCATGTCTACTTTTAAGGTCACCCCTCCCCCAACCCAATGCTGTTTGTATAAGTTTTGCTTATTTCTGTTTTCGTGCTTCAGTTCGTCCAGTGCTCTCTGCTTGAATGGCAAGATAGATTTATAGGCTTAATTCTTGGCCAGGCAGAAACTTCAGATGAAAAAATTTGCATCTTCAGTATACTTTCTAAAGGGCAATCAGATAATGAATATGTTTTACGTAATTAAGAGTTCACTGTAGTGGCTTTCATTTAATATGGCTGTCTGGGAGGCACAGGGTTCTCTGGCCCTGTACAATGTAATTTAAACTTACAGCATTTTTACTGTGTATAATATGGTGTCCTCTGTGCCAGTTTTGTACCTTATAATAGAGGCAGATTGCCTCCGATCGCTGTGGTTCTTATTATCAAAATTAAGTTTACTTGTATACGGAACAACCACAAGAAATTTGATTCTGTAAAGAATCCTCTTTAGCTGTGGCCTGGCAGTATATAAATGGTGCTTTATTTAACAGAATACCTGTGGAGGAAATAAAGCACACTTGATGTAAAAATAATTGTTTTATTTTTATTGACATGACTGATTGCTATTCTATGCACTTAATTAAACTGATTGTGATGACTTTTTAATTGTTTACATACCTTGCTTCAGTCTTCTCAGATGAAAGTAATGAGAAAACTGTGAATTTGGAGATGTACTTGTCCAATGTATACTTCATCAGAAGTATAGTGGTAGGCCAAAAAGTACCTTTTTCCATAGACTTTTCAGTCCTCGCCACTCCAAAGCGCATAACTGCTGCAGGGAGAAGCATACCAATACAGCCCGCTCGCCCTCACATCAACATGCTTCTGAATGCAACATGCCACTGTTTCACGACCTAAGAGCTACACACCTTAAAAACCCTGAAGTAAAATAAAGGAAGTACCAACATGCCATTTGTCTTTTCCTGAATTAAAAATTACAGCTAAAAGTAGGTTTGCTAAGACAAGCTTTAGCTTGGGACACTTCAACTATCCATACTTGGGGACGCAGTCTATCCCCAGAGGAGCATCTATGGATGGTAACGTTAACAATCTAATTTCACATTGCTTGCTTTTAGCTCAGTGCAGAGTCTAGTCATAGTAAATAAAGATTCAAACAATGCTTTCAATTCTGTATTAGTTTGTGGATTTCATCTAGTATAAATTAGAGTATTTTTTTTTAAAGGAACAATAGAGGAAGAGGTAAACATGATACTTTCTGCTTACAAAAAGTAATGCCCTTATAAAGTCTCCTAACTAACTCAACCATTTAAGGTGGTCAATTGCAGTAAACCTTTTATTTCTTCAAAATGCTGCTTCTGCCAACAAAATTTCATGTTCTCTTCTTCACAGACAGGAACTCCTTTACAGTCCAATTGTAATTCTGTTTGCTCTAGCGTAGGCACAAAATTCAGTGCAACTATTGCATAGTGTTCTGGAAGAAAAAAAGGAAAGTTCATTACAAAAAGGAAAGTTTATTACTGTACTATGAAAAGAATTTATCCATACAGTACCACTATTTGCTTTTCACAGTAGGGGGTAGAATACTTGAAGTGTTTTTGGACTTAAAAGGTGCTAATAACATACCTTCTGGCCAGTTCCTACGTCTCCATTTCATGACGATCTTTTTATTTGTTAACTGAAAACAAAGGGGAAATTCCACTGAAAACATCTTTTAAAACTTTGTACAATACTACAACAAAGAAAAACACCAAAGAAACCCCTATGGGAGAAATACAAGAAGTAATCAATGAACATACACTCTCAACTTGGTTTATGTGCCAGCACCATTGAGGATTCACTGTCCCTAGTGCCAAAATGTAACAGCAGTAACACCAGACAGAAGCGTGGTAGCCAGTACAGAGCTGCTGTTAAGAGGAAGGCAGCTGACATCTGGCAACACACATACTAGCGGCAGAGACCAGAAACTTCTAGACCCAAGAGTTGGGAGGAATTGTACTTGCATCTTCTAAAAGTCATAAATAGTGTACAATTACTGTGAAACTAAGGCTTCATCTTTATTATTACTTAGTAAATATAAATCTTTTATTTGCCCTATAACCAACTTTATAAAGCGTTCAAGTTTCTGTGAGCTCAGATAAAAACCAAAGCGCTTTTAAAAACAGCATGAATAAAGCATTTAACTGAAGAGTCTAGCTTACTTTCCTTTAACCTAAGATTACTTACCAGTTCTGTATATTCACCAGAGATGTTTCCATCAAACATTTGGAATTTCCCTCCCTTTTCAGCTTCTAATACAGCAGGAGATTTAGAAAATTTTTGCACCAACTAACCAAGCAAAACATACAATAGACATGTTATTTTGGCATGTTGCTATGTTTTCAACCTAAATGTGTAACATAACAGTTAACTGTGGTTGGGTTCGTTTTTAATTGTGAATACAGAGCTTTTAAATTATAGCCTCAGTAGATTGTTCCAAATCTCAATGCTGATAAACTCCTCCACCCCAGCTCCCAAACACCCATCTTTTCTGCCCTTAAATCCTTAGGATAGCTTACCCCTCCTCGAGCTGTCCTAAAGATTACTAGATCCCTTCAATCAGAAAAACATAGTCATGTAGGAAACCAAAAACCAGCTTCAGTTCTTAGTGGCATATTCTCTCCCCGTGTCAGCATTTCTGATTCCAGATACTGAGATGTCACTTACATCTTTCACAGTGAAGATTCTGTACAGCTGCTCGATAGCTGCGTCAAAGAGTTCCGTCATGTGCAGGGCCACGGTGGGGATCCTTACGCCCAGTGCCACCGGAGAGGAGGCCTGACTCTCAAAAGGTTCCAGAGCGTAATTAGCGTGACAAAGATCTTAGAAATTCAGTCTTACTGTCTCAGTAAAATACCATAATGTCCCAAACACTATCCTTCCACTAAAAAGCCTTTTTAGGCACCACCAATTCTAGTCTTTATTTTGGAAACAGAGCTTCTTTGCTCTGTTCCACTCCCAGACTAGGGCTTCACAGCCCAAATCCTACTTGGATATGTAACTATGGCCCAGGGGGCATAAAGATAAACAGGTGAAGGACACAGCACTTAAGGCCAAAAGGGGTCAAACTCCCCATCACCATAGTCCAAGAACAAGATCTAAAACCTCCCAATCCTCCAAAAAGGGAGAGATGCTCCTTCCATTGTGGTATGTGAACTTCAAAGTCACTTTTGTGACTCTGTAGTGTAACGAGGATAAAACAGCACTGTCCTGAACTAAATTAAATATTTCCAATCCCTTCTATCAAGGATGAAAGTCTCATTTCATCATTTCCCCCCACAATGGCAGAAGATGCAAAGGTGGATTAACTGGCCCTCCTCAGTATCTTGTATAGTGCTCCATCGTCACAGGCTTTTCAAGCTTTGAAGCCTTCGAGCCTGGCGGGCTACAGCCCATGGGGTCGCACAGAGTAGGACATGGCTGAGCTTGCACGCATCCACACACCAAGCACTTCCTTTCCCCCCTCCCTACATGTGGTCCACCAGAGATCACACCTGCAAGGTATTCTCACTCAGTTTCCTTTTAACTGTCAATTCCTGGGCTGCCATAGCTTTGGTTGGTAAAATCATTCCCAATGTAAATTCTATAAAGGAAACATATGAGAAATAACTTTAATAACAAACCTTTTCCCTTCCAGCACAAATAGGCAGAAAACTGAAAACAGTATATAAGAATATAAAGAAACATTTATAGAAGGAATTCCTATAGCCATTTTGAGAATTTCAAGACCATTCTGTATCCTTACATATAAAACTAATCATTAATATGAGTTACACAGCAACAAATGTCTTTTATCCTTTTTACTGAATGCCTCACTTTTATCTAGTTCTTGATAAAAACAGCATTTTCAAATGCTGTTTTCCAAAAAGCTCCACTTAATACACTTAACTACTAATAGCTTTATGACCGTCACTTACTATCAAAGCCAGACACTTGGCTCACTGCTTCACCACCACCAACTCACAAAGCTTGGTCTCCATTCAAGCCTGTGGCAGCAGCATGTGTGATCTCGTGAGAAAAGTAAACCCCAAACCCATCTATGCCAACACTGAGATACTCAGCAGAGTCCAAGGATGAGGTGCAGACATTCAAGCCCTGCTGGCTATTTTACCTGGCAGGGAGCTTCTCTAATTTAGCAAAGAAGACAATAAATAACCTCAGTTCCACTCAGTGCAGGGATTATCTGAGTAAGTTTCCAACTACACCTGCAATACCTATAGTCACTTTCATTCGCTCATTCAACAAAGATTTATTAAGCATCTATTATATACATCAGGCATTGCGCTAGACATTGGAGATAGCAGTAAACAGGACAGAGTCCTTCCATGCCCTCATGAAGCTTATAGTCTAGCAGGGAAGACAGACATTAGATAATTATAAAAACAGTTGATTAAATAATTATCATTCCAGGAACTATCAACAATTCTGTAGGCAAAATGGTTCAGGCTGTATAAAATACTGATAAGCACTAATTATGGTCTAATTCATGACTAGATCTCAACCTCCAAACTACAGTTTATCATGCAGCATAAAGAGCTGTCTCTGGAACCTGGGACATTGACCTAAACTGGGAATCCAGACTACAGTGCAGAGCATTATTTGGGTAAATGGAAAAGGGACCCTCTAGTTCACAAGGATGCCTTCTTTACCCGTCTTAAGTGCCTTCAGGTAATCTCCAAGGGCTTCCCTGACCTTGGCGGTGCCTGCAGTTTTCATAAGATCCTTCAGAATATCCCCATCTCCTTTCTTTTTACTCACGTTCACCTACAAATCAGAAAAATACAAACCGAAGAAAAATCTGGTTTGACGTATTCTTACAATACTGGGACAAATGGATGAGGGAACTGTGATGGCAAAGGACGGGAAAGAAGTGATGTGAGAGAGACGTGACAGGTTTTTTCATATAGTTTGAGAAGATGTAAGAGTTTTTTATCAAGTGTCTACTGAAACGGTGGCCAAAACTTGAAGGGACTTCTTAGAATGTGAACCCCTAATCTGCATATATTTTATGTGTATATGTATCATACTGATGATGTAGTCCACAGCATTCGGAGTCTAGAAACGTGCTGTTCAATATGGCAGCCACTTGGCCACATGTGGCGACTGAGCACCCACTGAGATGCGTTCAAAGTGTAAAATCACACATATACCAGACTTTAATGACTTAGCACCAAAGGAATATAAAATAATCTCATGAATAACCTTGATACTAATTACATGTTAAAATGGTATTTTTATATTTTGGGTAAAATAAAAAGTATTAAAACTAATTTTATCTGTTTCTCTTAAATATTTCTAAAACGGCTGCTAGAAAATTTTAAGTTCTTTATGTGGCTTCCATTATGTATCTATTGAACAGTGCTTGTCTAGAGTCCCAAATTCCATTAATTAGGAAAATCAGGTCCCCACATATCCTGGTCTTGGGCTACATTTTTTTTTTTTTTTGGCAAGGGGGAGAGGTGGGAAAGAGAGAAAGCGGGGGAGAAAAGGAGGGAAGGCCAGAACAAGAGGAGGGAGAGGGAAACGTCAAAATGCTGCTCTGGGGGTGCCCCTGGTATTCTCAGAAAGAAGTGGTACTGGTTTGAAACTCCCTTCATGTCCCTGTGATTCAGTTGAGGTGGGCCTGCTCCCAGGGCCCAGTTCTACATTAGAGAGTTTGTTCTGCAGTACTACCAAGGGCTGAATTGAAAAGACCAATTTAATATCCTGCTAAAACACTTCTGAGCTGATGGATATGGACAGAGCAAAGTGAAGTCACAGGCCCTGAGTGCACTGACCACACATTTGAAGCTACCACTTTTAAGGCAGTTCATAGCCTTTAAGAAAGGCAACTCCTGGTAGTTCTTACTATCCTGAAGTAACTTACTATCCTGAAGGCCTTCACACTAAATATGTTCACAAATCAAAAAAGACCCTGTCAGACTGTCATCTGGAAAATATAGCTATCATACAAAAGTTTTCACCCCACAACCAAGCTTTTAGCTTATAAGTGGACACTGATGCAAACCAAGCAGGAGTTACACAGGCTCTCCCCACTGATGATGAGAAGAGCCAGTCAAAACCAACACACGTACTAACTTATGTCCAAAAAATGTGATACAACCAAGGGAGATCATGGTGAAAAGCCGAGAATTTTCACCATTAAAGGGAAAGAGTAAAGATGCAGAGAAGGGAGATACAAAATCCCATTCACCAAGCAGTGCACGATACCTGAGCACTTCCCAGTATACATACAGTTGCATGCATCTGATGACACCTTTGAAAGGTGATGAGGAGGCCACGGAGGGTGCAGTCCATGGCTTCCCAGGCATGCCCTTCCTATCACATCACTGCCCAGACCTCACCCTGCCTCCCCACAGCGCAGCTTCCTTCTCAGCAAACGAGCCCTTCACTGCTCACCAGAGCTACAGCACAGGCACAGGTTGTCAGCTGCCCAATATGTATAGCAGAAACGATTTAAAAACAAAGAAAAGAAAGAAATTCCATCAGATACCTCACCTCAGTGTCATCTACTTCATTTTCTTCAGACAGGCTGGGTATTTCAATCAACCCCTTGTGCTTCGCACCAGATTCTCTAATGATACCTAAAATGAGCAAAATGTCTTCTTTAATTACAAAGTAACAACTAGTCTATGGAAAACTGCCCTGCCTAACTGAACAGCCCACCCTCCTCATAGGGTGCACCCTTCACCCACAAACGCCCATCACATGTCTGTCCAAACCAACTCTGCTCTCCCGGCCCGCATCAGAGGTTAAGTTCCTAAGAAAGCTGGGTTGGGGGGGGGGGGGGGCAATTAAAGTCCAGACAAGGGAATTCCCTGGTGGTCCAGTGGTTAAAAATCGGTGCTTCCACTGCAGGGGGCAAGGGTTTGATCCCTAGTCAGGAAACTAAGATCCCATGGGCCGCATGGCAGGGCCAGAAAATTAAAAAAAGAAGAACAGTGCCATTATTAGGCTTTTTTTTTTTTTTTTAAGTGCACATGAAATCAGGGTCCACATGGAAGCATGAGAGTGAAGTAAGTAGGTCTGTTAACCAGTGTTTCTTTTTTCATCCCCCAATATTCTTTAACAAGTCAAAGCATGATAAAGGACTATCCTGAAGAAAAGTCACAGGAAGGCAAAGAGGGACACTGAGTTCTGATCACAGAAGGAGGGAAAGGAAGGAGGTGGGGACGTCTGTGTGGAGCCGCTATGCAGCTAATGTCTTTCAACACCAGGTGTCAACTTCAGTGACATCGAGATGGTGACACAGGTCATTCTCAACTTCAGCCCCCTCACAAGAAGAGCAACCAGCAACTACGCAGGGAAAGGACACCACTGAAAATCCCAAACCCAGAGGTGAGGCTGATGCACGCTTCTGGACCAAAGACAGAAGAGGACTGCAGTAGCGGGTATGAGGAGTGGTGACACTCTGACCAAACTGCCCGAGGCCAGCACAGAGCAGCACTGAGAGGCCCCCACTGCAGTTTTCCAGCAGCAAAGAGGGCAGGCTTCCCAGCATTGTTGGATGCTTCCTCGGAGGCCAACAGGGGTCTCAACATGTGGGAGCCACAGGGATTCGGGCTTTCAGCAGCCAATGCTCAAACCTGGATGGACCGTGTTCCTGCTTGAGGCAGTATACGAGCAGAGCTCAGCTGGCAATTCTGCTTGATGTGGGTCCCCATGCAACAGGCCAAGGCCAGCTGGGGAGTCTCACAAAGGTGGGGAAGCAAATTCACAGCTCCACTCAACTGCTGAGTGTGGCTTCCCAGCCAGACCATCCAGGAAGCCGGACCGTCCAGGAAGCCGGACCAGAGAACCCAGGCAGCCCTGGAGCCCACCCACACTGCCCCCTTGGGCAGGGAGCCACACCAGCAGTCTTGCCCAACTACAGAGTATAGCCTCCGGCCCTGCGTAGCCAGGGAGCCAGAACAGTGACCCCAAGTGGCCTCAAAGCGGAGCCTACAGCCCTGCCAAATTGCTTAACATAGCTTGGGGCTTGTCCAGACAAGAAGCTCAGCAGCGACCCTATCCGACAGAGAACAGCCTCTAGCCCCTCAACTGCAGGAAACAGGTAGAAGCCTCTCTTGACCAGAGAGCCCAGCAGGCAACTTTGTTCAATAGCGGAGCATACCCAGCTGCCTATGGATGCTGAGGCCAACCCTGCAGCCCTGCCCAACTTCAAGGCACAATCTGTGTCTCCATCTGATCACAGAACCCAATGGAGGTTAAGGTACCAAGAATTCTGCCTGCAGTTCTGCCTCAACAGAGTCCAGCCAGGAGCACCACCTGCCAGGGAGCAGAGCCTAAGACCCCACTCAGCCAGAGCCCTGCCCAGTCACGGAATCCAACCAGTGGCATCAGCCTGCCAGGGAGCACAGCCAGCGACTCGGCTGACGGAGTAACTGCAGAGCTGATGCCCCGTGCAACCGTGGAGCAGAGCCAGCAACCCTGCCTGGTCAAGGAGCCCACTGAGCAGCCCCGCTTGAACATGGAGTTGGCTGACTCACCCCACCATCAAGGCCAGCCATTGGTAACCCCCACCCCGACCTCAGAGCACACTCAACTGGAGACCCTGGCAGCAAGTCTTGCCCACCCATGGACATTACAAGCTGACACATCCAATAACCCAAGCTAAAAGGTGATGGATTTTCCCTGCCAAAGCAAACCTGTAAAACACGGAAGAAGAGACCAATTACTTACACATGCAGCTACTAATGCGAGGAAACAAGGTTCAAGAAAAAAATCAGGCAAACATGAGACCACCAAAAAACCTAGTAAAGCTCCATAACTGATAAATGGAGATGCATGAACTATATGACCTGGAATTCAGAATAAATCTGTTAAAGAATTCAGCAAACTATAAGAACACACAGACAACTAAACGAAATTAGGAAAACAATGCATGAACAAAACAAGTTCAAAAAAGAAAGAGAAAGTGTTAAAAAAAAAAATCCCACAAACTGTTGGAGCAAAAGAATACAATGACTCTACTGAAGAATTCAATAGAGAGCTTCCACAGCTAACTCGACCTAGCAGAAGAAAACAATGAGTACACTTGAAGACGGGTTATTCGAAATTGTCCAGTCAAAGAAACAAACAAAAAGAAAGAAAAAGAGTGAAGAAAGAACAGGAGACTCATGTGATACCATCAAATGAAACAACACGTTCATTAAGGAAGTTCCAGCAGGAGAAGACAAAGAAAGGGCCAGAAAGTCTATTTAAAATAATAATGGTTGAAAACTTCCCAAACCTGGGAAGAGAAATGCACATCCAGATTCATAAGGCCGAACGGTCCAAGTAGGCTGAACTCAAAAAAAAAAAAAAAAAAAAAAAGGCTACATCAAGACACGTAAGAATTGAACTGTCAGAAGTCAAAAACAAAAAATTTTGAAAGCAGGAGAAAAGTGACTCTTCACAAACAAGCGAGCTTCCATAAGGCTACAGGTGGATTTCATAGCAGGAACTTGACAGACCAGCAGTTGGATGATATACTCACAATACTGAAAGAAACAGTATGTCAACCAAGAATACTACACCCAGAAAAGCTGCCTTTCAAGAAGTAAAAGAGAGACAAAGATATTCCCAAACAAATAAAAGCTGATGGGGGTTCAATGTCACTAAATCTGCCTTATATGAGATGCTAAAGAACATTCATCAAGCTGAAATAAAAGGATGCTAATTAGCATGATAAAAACATATGAATGTGTAAAACTCACTGGTAATGGTAAATATACAGTCAAAATCAGATTATCTAAAACTGCAGTGGTAATATGTAGTTCTCTTACAAGTCTGCATTAAAAGTTAAAAAACAAATGTACTTAAATAACCATAACTATGAGAATTTATAACTATGAAAACTTCTACAATGTAAAAATATGTAAACTGTAACATAACAACCTAAAATGTGAGAGGTGAAAAAGTATAAATTTCTGTATGCTATCAAAATTAAGTTGTTATCAGTATAAATAGGATGTTATAAATATATTTTATATACACCTCAGGTTAACCACAAAGGAAAACCACAAAAGATGGTAAGAGTCAAAGCACATCACCTCAAAAAAGTATCAAAGGACTGTGGAGCTGTTGAGAGAGGTGTTAAGTCCTTACCTATCAATCATTACTTTAAACATAAACATTAAATTCCTCAATCAAAAGGTACAGAATGGCTGAATGGATTAAAAAATCAAGATCCAACAACGTGACAGTCTCTTTACGATAGACAGTCTCTCTACAAGACTCACTTTAGCTTTAAGGATACACATAAACCAAGAGCAGAGGGATGGAAAAAGAAATTTCAAGCAAATGATAACCAAAAGAAAGTAGGAGTAGCTATACTTATGTTAGACAAATAGATTTTCAGCTAAAATGAACAAAAGAAAGAAGGTCATTATATAAAGCTAAAGGTGTCAATTCATCAACGATATAACAATTATATTTAAGCATCTAATAGCACCTAAATAAAGCAATTACTAACAACTTAAAAGGAGAAATAAACAGCAATACAATAATAGTTGGGGACATTAATACCCTACTCTCAACAATGGATATATATCATCCAGACAGAAAACCGTAAGGAAATACCAGATCTGAACACTACAGACCAAATACACCTAACAAATGTATACTGAACAGTCCATTGACAGCAACAGAATATGCATTTTTCTCAAGCACTCACAGAACATTTTCTACAATAAATCATAGGTTAGGCCACAAAACCAGTCTGAATAACCAGCTCAGGTTGGGTACATGAGACAAGTGCTCGGGCCTGGTGCACTGGGAAGACCCAGAGGGATCAGGTGGAGAGGGAGGTGGGAGGGGGGACTGGGATGGGGAATACATGTAAATCCATGGCTAATTCATATCAATGTATAACAAAAACTACTGTAATGATGTAAAGTAATTAGCCTCCAACTAATAAAAATTAAAAAAAAAAATAAAATAAATAAATTAAAAAAAAAAAAAATTATAACAAATATCTTTTCCAATCAAAATGATATGACACTAGAAAACTCACAAGTACATGCAAATTAAAATACTCCTGAACAACTAATGGCTTAAAGAAATCAAAGGCAAAATTTTAATATATCTTGGTACAAATAAAAATGGAAATACAAACACTATGAGATGCAGCAAAAGCAGTTCTAAGAGGGAAGTTGGTAGCTGTAAACTCATACAACAAGAAATAATCTCACATAAAGAGCCTAACTTTACACATCAAGGAACTAGAAAAAGAAGAAAAAAAGTAAGCCCAAAGTCAGCAGAAGAAAATAAATAACAATCTACAGATTCAATGCAATGCCTGGTAAAATTCCAACTACATTTTTCACAGAAATAGAACAAAAAAATACTAAAATTGGTAGGGAACTACAAAGACCCCAAATAGCCTAAGCAATCTTAAGAAACAACAAAGCTAATGGCATCACACTTCTTGATTTCAAACTATATTATAAAGATATAGTAATCAAAACAGTATAGTACTGTCATAGAAACAGGCACATAGATCAACAGAACTATAACAGAGAATAGAATAGACAGAATAAAGAGCCCCAAAATAAGTCCATGCTTATGTGGTCAATTAAGCTAAGACAAAGGAGTCAAGCAT